GAGTTTACGTAAATAAAAAGGTGGATATCAGACAATCAAATTTCGAGTTTAATTTCGTCGATGGTGCCATTTTCAAACCATATTTTTTAGTCTCAGTTATACGTATTAATAATAAATATTAAAATCACTCCGTATAAATACTATGACGTGTTGTAATTTATATAAATATCAATCTTGAACGAGCTTTGTTCTTTATTTCTTACTTTTCATTCGCACCTTTCATTCGCACTTTATAAAAAAAAACAATGTCAATCGCAGTATCGAACATAGATACCCCTTTGACACCCAAAACATCAAATAGTATATCGGCACCTTCATCAACACCATCAACCCCAGTTATCGATAATACAGGGTCACAAGATCAAGGCACCGAAATAACTTCTGGCAAAAATGTTGTGCAAAACGTAAATAAATCATCAAATATTGTAGGTGTGAAAGAAAGGACACCGCTTCATGAAATAAATTTTAATAGCCCTGTAAGAAAGGATCGCACGACAAGAAGGCCACGAAAAAAACATCCAGTGAAGAATCAAAACCCTAGTAACAATGATCAAAGCAACATAAATAAAATTTCAGGTATCCATCCGGCTGCAGAGCCGCTGAGAAAAGATTTAACTAATGATGCGCCAATAATTATTGATGGATCAGAGACAAGCGAACCACAAACACAAATGCAAATTTCGGTGAAACGGAAATCAAAACAATTCGAGGATGACGATGATGAGAAAGAGTCGACTAAAAGAAAAAAATCTGCAAGGAGAAATAAAAATGACAAAAATTTACCAAAGAGACCTGCTAATGCTTATTTTCAATTTTTAGCCCTTAGAAGGTACGTAGTTATATAATTAAGCTGTATATATATCAAATTTGGCTTGAAATTTGTATGAATAGGGCAGAATTTACTAAACAATATCCGGAATTGAGCGCACAAGATGTAACTGTATTCCTTGCCAAGATTTGGAAGTCAATGTCAAAAGCAGAAAAGAAAGTAATATCAAATAATTCTTATGCTTGGGTTAAAGTCGTGTGTATATGCAATGAATTAAATTTTATTATTTAAATTTATGTTTTTAGCCATATGTTAAAATAGCACATGAACAAAAAGAAAAGTACAAAAAGGCAAAACAAGAATATGATGGCATGGTATGGCACAAACCCTGATAAATTTTATACCTTTGAAGACGAAAATTTAAATTAAATATTCGGTTATTTTATAAATTAGGACAAACTAGAGAAATTAAATGAAGAACAGGATGCACCTTATGATATCGATCCATTCCCTCAATATCCTGATTTTCAATCAATGCTCAATGCCCCACTATCTTTTGGTCCATTTGAACCTATCTCAGAGGCATCTTTCGATGGTGATTTTCATGACCAGAAAGTTAATGACAATCCGTCTGTGTTGGTGAAATACGAACCACGGAGCCCAACTTTGCTTTACGTGAATAACAATGCTCCCAGTACTCCATCGCAGCCTCAATATTTTCCCAGTACTCCATCGCAGCCTCGATATTTTCCCAGCAATTCCAGTACTCCATCGCAGCCTCAATGTTTTCCCAGCAATTCCAGTACTCCATCGCAGCCTCAATGTTTTCCCAGCAATTCCAGTACTCCATCGCAGCCTCAATGTTTCCCCAGTAATCCTATTCATACCTATGTCGATAGAATACAACAAATATCTCAACAAACTTACAAGCAATTCCAAGTTGAATCCCAATATGTACCACCCATTAAATCTGAATTCGTTTCCGTCCAAAATAACAATAATCCATCGCAACAAGAGTGTTTGCAGACACAAAGTACACCAATCCAACCAGCTATGCAACAAATTCAAGTACCTCGACAAATGCGATATCCTCAGCAACTATCGACCAATCCGAACATGATATCAATACCGCAAACTCCAAATATGTTACATGCCCAAATTTCACGACAAACGAATCCGAATATGATATCAATACCGCAAACTCCAAATATGTCACATGCCCAAATTTCACGACAAAAGAATCCGAACATGCTATCAATGCCGCAAACTCCAAATATGTCACATGCCCAAATTCCACGACAAACGAATAATGGTTCATCATTGCAGTCTTTGAATCAACAGCAACAAACAGAAAAGCAGTTACGTTCTATGCAACAAATGCCATATCAAACATGGCAGCCTACGTTAGTGTATTCTCCAGATATGAGTGGACAGGCAAGCCAACAGATGATGATGGGACAAATCATGCCACAGCAAATGCCTCAGCAGATCCCTCAAAATATGCGGCAACGACTTTGGCAAACAATTCCAAATCAAACGAATAATCAATTTTCATCATATAGATCAACCCAACAATTTGCCTGGCAACAACAAAATAGATCAATGTATAATCCATTGAATAATCAACAACATGTGTTAAGTCCAATAGATAACCATATGAGGCCACAAATACAAACTAATCCACAGATGAGATGGTATTAATGTAAACATACCAATGTAGATAGACGCTAAATTATTGAAAGCCTATGTATTTAATAAGAATCACAATCCGCTTGCTTTATGATTTCTAATATTTATTATTAGATCGATATATAATATGTATATTTGATATGATTTCTAATATTTATTATGTTAGATTGATATTTGATATGTATATGATTTCTAATATTTATGATATATTGATATATGATATGTATATGATTTAGAATGTTATTTAATTCTAATAACACAATTCAAAGAATCGTCACTCGTACTATTATTGTAATGATTTATGTACATACATAACCTATTAAACAATATTTGCTCTATAAAATTTCTAAATTGTTGTTTATTCATGCTTGTAGTGTACATTATCCACTAAGCGAGGTTAAATTATTAAACTATGTAATAAATAAAAAATAAAATTACAATGATATTAGAAACTTTTGAGTTATATATTAGAAACATTTTAAGTGATTATAATTGAATTAATTATTTATTTGAAAAAGGTTATTTGTTATTACAAGTGAATCTCGATATAAGAAACCTTCGATGTAATGCTAATTAAACTCTCGATATAAGAACGTCAATCCAAACCCAGTTTATAATAAATCCACTAGATATAAGAATTTATTATAAACTCTCGAAAAATCCATTAGATATAAGAAAGTTATTATAAACTCTCGAACTATGAATTCGACTATCTTTCTTATAATGTATCGAGATTCAGTTGTATTCTTTGTAGCATGATGGAAATTTGTTTTCATTGGCTGATCTGCAAGAATTCTAATTGACCAAAATTAAAGATTAACACACGTTATTACTACCGTAAAAGTGCATATACAAGACCCACCGTGAATCAGGCCCGGGGCTATAATATCGATAAAAATTTTGGTAAAATGGAACAGACCCGGGTATATTATAGGAAACAATGATTAACATATCGGTCAAGTGTTCTAAGGGATCTGTTAGTTGCAGCACATATAAAATTTATAGGTTTTGTGAAAAAAGACGGTTGTCACTTCTAGGCTAACATTTATATCTTACAATATAACTAGTATTATTTATTATAATAAAAAATTTGTTATTTTATATTTTTATACTATATATATTTTTTCCTTTACACCAAAAACCTTTGAAGTATCTTATTTTGAAAATGGCACCATCGACGAAATTAAACTCGAAATTTGATTGTCTGATATCCACCTTTTTATTTACGTAAACTC